CTGCGCCACTGCCATTGTGATCTGCCCCATCTAGCAAACCTTATCCGGAAAACACATCGAAACATTGGCAACATTCCCATGACCGAGGCGAATGAGCCAAGCGCTGCCCAGAATCAGAAACCTTTAAACAAATCAAGCCACGACCACACAGTCGGCAAACAACGTCAGCAACTGGCACCAAACAACAGCCGAAAGTACAAAAATGGCCAAAAGCGAGACGGAGAGAGGGCAAAACTTGTTGACACCGGTCTCTTTTTCAGCCAGTCTCTTTCTGGCTAAGTGCGCCCCTCTCCCTCGCACAAATGGTGCGCTCACTTTCTGTGTCGGTACAATTTAAGTTTCAATAGGCGACTATTTGTTGCAATTTAAGCCGAACGCGTTTATAAATTGACGGAGGAAACTGCCGTCGACTGCTCATAGACTCATAGACAGCGGCGTGGAAACCGCAGGCGGGAAAAGGGGCTGCCAGGGGCTGGCAGGGGCTGGAAGGGGGTGGGGCACTGCATCCAACTGGGAAATGGGCAGGTAGAGACCCAACGAGTGACAGGGCCCCCGGACGTTTAAATTGGACCAACGAACGTACACATGCCGCTCACAGTTCCCAATGCAAAGTCCAAATTTCCGTTTTTGCACAACAGTGAATTCGGCCTGACACTTAAATTACTTAAATTAATTTATACTAGCCATGGCTCCTATACAGATTTGTGCGCTTTTTTGTTTGTTTTCATTCGCGGTACAGTATTATACCTTTTTTCGGCGTGCTCTGCCGGATTTTGTGGCTAACTAATGTTTGCGGTTGTCATTTTTAATTGAATTATTTCCATAGTACGAGTATCTGGCAAACTGTTGCGGTCGATAATGAGAGTAAAAGTCGGCTAAACAGCATTTTTGAAGCCTGTCTGAAACAATTAATGTCTCATTTTCATAGAGCCGTCAATAAATATACGCGCAGTTAGTGGGTTCTATTTTGGACAATTTTTGTATATTTAACATGTTTTGTAATGGTACTTTCAACGGCAATAAAGTTGGGAAATACTAATGCTTCACTATGTTATGTCTAACATTTTAACTTAACGATAAATCAATCGTTTTGCAATACTGCTATAAATGTTAAATTTAAGAATATAATATCAGAAGTCTCGTATTTAAAAATCTTGATGAACAAAAATGTGATGCAAGATGTCATGGTGCAGTTAAGCACCCTAATAAATTAAAAAAAATTCTAATACAATTTTAATGTACAACTATTAGTAAAATAATGCATTTAGATGACCAGATATTTTCTAGTCAGTGTTTAATGTATTGTTATTTTTAACCAAAAGTTTCTGCATTTTCATATAAACTTTGTAAATAAAAGTTAGCAAGTAAAAAAATGTATTTCTTAAATGCCACAATAAATTTGCCAAACAACAAGAAATGGGGAAAACTATAAATAAAAAGCGATAAGCTATAGCGAACGCTATAATCTATCAACTATTTGATACCCGTTACTCAGCTAGTGGGAGTGCGAACGAGAAAGTTTAGCAATCCTTTTGGCATATCGATACAAATTAACCAAAAATAATAAGTTTAAAAAAATAAAAATAAAATGCAAAAGTGTGGTCATGGGGGTTATGGTTGGTTTGTGGGCGTTAGAGTGGGCGTGGCCACATGAGCCAACAAACTTGCTGCATCTATGTCTCCGGAATAAACGGACAAGGCCAGATTGACCGGCTATTGATCCTGATTAAGATGGTGGTAAAAGCTTCTACAAGTTACATACTTTTCAACGAATCTAGTATACCCTTCTACGCTACGAGTAAGGGGTATGGGTATTGGAACAGCTTGGACGCGGCGCAGACGCATTGGCACCACCACGCAGCACATTAAAGATAATTTGTACACTTGGCTAATAGTTTTTTAATCAAAATTTAACGCCACACTCGACTTACAATAGTTTTTGAGGCAGCACACCCATGCCGAATTTCCCAGCCACTGACCACACGCGAGCTGGGAGAAACCTTAATTAGTTTTCGAAGTGCAACCAAAGATGATAAATTGTTGGGCTGGGAAAGCCAGGCAGATCCCAGACTGGTTGTCTGGAGCGATCGGGACTGGACGGGCCTATTGAGTTACGATGTCAGCGGAGGATCATTAAAATTACAGACAGTACCGACCAGAATCTGAGTTCCCAAGAAATTCAATGGAGGGACCAACTGCATCCTCGCCACTCAAATTCCCCTCCCGCTCGCTTAAAAAGTTTGTAATTTTTCAATATTCGCACACAAAACGAAATTAGCTCGTCGGAGCATCGGGATCCGAACTTGGATTGGCATTGGGATTGGAAAGGGATAGGCATCGGGATCGAGATCGGGATCGGGATAGGGATAGGGATCGGGATCGGGGTGGAATCGGTATCGCAGTCCCAACGCATGCAAATTTCACAGGAATCAAAGGCAAAAGATGAGGCAAATACAAATAATAATAAAAAGGCTTATGCCGAGCTGAAAATCGTTGTGGCGTTGTGACTTATGGCTGATTTTTTTTATGCCCTGGACACTGTTGCTTTCGTCTCGCTGCTGCACTGAGAGAAACAAAAGCGACCAGTGATATCGAATAGCCAATTGCCGATGGCCAATTACATTGGACTTAACGATCCAATACGGAGTTTTGGACTGATTAATGCCCATTTTTTTGCTGACAATAAATATCAAGCAATATGGTAAGCATTTGGATAAATCCTTACTTTGTTGCCTCAACAACCCATATTCCTCACCCATTTCTCCCGATGAAGTTTCGCCTTGGTGGAGTGCCTCGTTTCGTTTGGGGCATGTGCAGACAGTTGTGAAATTATATTTGCGCACCGTCACGGCCATTGTGTTGCTGCAGCAGGATTGGACTGGATCCGAGGCCTGGGCACTGGAGCCAGATTCCCGCCAGAGTCCCGGGCCGCCTCAACTCTCGATTTGTCAGGGCAGACGGATAGCTTAACTGTTGGCCAGGAGGAGCAGGTTGTTGCTGCGCCGATCGCAGGATCGCGGAGTTGGAGCAGGGCCATGGGAGCTAGCCGCGCATCACCGTCATCGTGCTATTCAAACAAATGATATACAAAATGTTAAATGAATTATGAATTTTGCATATGCGTCTTTGCAGCATCGTGCAATTTTTCATATCCAATAGGCATGGACCCCGTGAGCCATCCAGCCATCCAGCCATTCAGCCAGCCAGCCAACCAGTCAGCCATCCAGGCCGACGAAGAGAACCTGTGCTGCTTGGCCAATCTTTCCCTGGTGTTGGCTTTAATAAATTGGCGTGGGGTGCGCCTTGAGCAGTCCATCCCCCATTCCTTATCCCCCATCTGACCATCGCCATCGCCGTCAGCGTCATCCAATCCTCTGGGTGCTGTTGTCGCAGGCTTGTTTAGGCCATGTCCGTGTCCAAGCCAATGTCATGGATCTGTGCGGCATGCGGCGACTTCGGCAAACACAGCCGTTCGACAGCCACTCGCAAAAGGGAAGGCAAATATAATCAAGTCATATAAATTGAGTGCATTTTTCACAATAAATTGTCTAAATTGTCTAAATTATGCCGTGTGCGCTCACCTGATGACCACGAAAAGTCATGTGGGCAGTGCGTGTGGGAAATTAGCTGGGACTGACCGGGATTGGATGACCGGGGGATTAAATTCGATTAGCCGAGAATCAGAAACCACTACCGCTTGAATACTACTAATTTCCTAATACTCCCTGGACCAGGCAGAACTATTTAAAGCCCTTGGAAAGTGGACATCAAGCATATTTCATTTAATAGCGCGGTGTATTATAAGAACTAACTTACTTACGTTTTTTTTTTTTTTTTTTTTTTTCTTTTTTACAATCTGCCTTAAGCAAGTATGACAATAAGTAAATTGTATAGTTACCTTAAAGTAAGAACTAATATTCATTCGAACCGCAGTGACAGCGAATTTTAAAAGAGGCAATCTCATCGGCCAATAGAGGTGCAGTAGTTTCGTCACGCAGCCAAACCAGCCAAGCCTTCTATTTCATTCCAAGCAAGCATACAAACAAGCTATGCACAGTATCGTAAATTATAAACATATCTAGCGCACCTCGTTATAAGGAAAAGTAGGGAATGAACACAGAAGCAGGTTCCCAAAATAATCGGGTGGGTACTCATCCCAATCCATCCAGCAGTTCGTGGATCAGGCATTAGCAGGTGAAATACGTTGATGTGCCTTAAAACAATATTTGCGCGCCTGCAGTTGTGTTTGGTTAGCAATTAGGTGCATCCCGAGCCTGCAGGCGAGCATAAGCCCGGGATGGAGATCCGATGCCTGGTCGATCATGTAAACAATTCCAGCATATTTAGTACGTGTCAGGAAAATGAATGGCCAGCCCGAGGGGCGGCGAGGCGCAGGGCGGCGAGGCGGTGTGGCAAGTGCGCGACTAGACTAACAGTAGCCACGGGCTAATTATGCTCGGGAAAGCGGAGCAACCTCTTCCCCCTCCAGCCCCCGCTCCAGCAGCACTCGATGGCTGCGCCCTTCAGCAAGACACTTGGCCAGCACTGAACTTGATTTATGCTCCTCGGCATAGGACCAGAGCCATCCGAAGAGTACCGAACCAGCAGACTGCCAGGCGACCGCGCCAGCCCGCTGGGATTTTCAAGTGGTTTCCACAACCAGACAACCAGAATCAGACTCGATTCAGAGCAATTCGATCCAGGGAAGGGTTGCACAGGAAGAACTACTAACTGTGGGTTTCAAAAAATACATTTTTTGATAAAAGTGTAAAAAACTCCGTAAATTGGCAAAGTCTCTGTGTGCTTCGTCACCTGCACAACCAGAAAACCAGAATCAGAGCAATTCGATTCAGGGAAATGGTTGCATAGGCAGAATTATTAACTGCGGTTTCCAAAAAATAAATTTTTGTTAAAAGTGTACACTCTTTAAATTGGCCCGGGGTGTGTTTCGTTACCTGCAAAAAAGAAATTCAAATATATTCACAACTTCCATCTGCGATGAACGAAAGGCGCATTTTACTTATGACACGCAGTTGCAAATAGAAAATATACTCGAATGCTCCAGGAAAATTCACTGAAAGCTCTCTACAATATCCTTGAGCTGGCGTTCCAGTTTCCTGTTGAATTCCTCGGACAGCAGCTGCCGGTCCCCGCAAAGTGGAGTATCGCCTCCCATTTTGGTGACCCCTTTCTCGCCAAGGAAGTGCAAAGAGTCTGTGGAGCCTGTAGAGCCTGCAGAGCTCACCTCCTGTGTGGAGGACCTCCGTCCAGAGTCATCAGAGGCAGATTCGCTGAAGCTTTGCAGGAACTTCTCAGCCAGGAGGGCAACACGATCGTCCGGACGGGGAGCATAGTTGTCTTCGATCACCTCCGATCGACGAGTGAAGATAACACTGGGCTTGTAGCTCAAGCTGCACGGCTCTGTGGACGGACGGGTCTTGGGACAGCTTTTGGGGCTGATGGAGGAGCTGCTCTTTCTGGTGGTGAGTGCTGCTGCCATCAACTTGGCGCGAATCTTCTCCTCGTCGTCGGTCAGTGTGATGTCCAAAAAGTCGGCATCATCATCCAGTACTATTGCAGGACCCTCGAAATCCTCTGGAATTTCCATTAGGGCTTCGTCAGCATTGTATATCTTAAGGCTGAGGAAGCTCCTCGACTTGGCCACTTCACTTGAAGATGCATCTGGCCCAGTTTCGTGGATCAAGTCGTGTTCATGTGTTGCACAGTCCTGAAGAGCATTAAAAAAAAAAAAAATGGAAAGGAAGCTTACAGTTACAGTTTTTTTTTTCAAAAATAAGGATGTATACCTTTAACCAAAACTTTTCCATTGTTTTCAATTATTACTTTGCTATTGCGATTTTTCAATATTAATCAAATTAAAACCGAAATTTGTATATTGTCAAAAACGGATTAATGTTTTGTGATTAAAGACCACGAATGTTTTTCTATTAATCCTATAGGTAATAGATTCCATTCCTATCGGATGGACGATACCTTGGACGATATCTTGTATTAGATACCTCGTATGGTCGCATTGCCCTCTGTAAGGGTATACGAAGTGTTAAGATTTAAGTGTTAAGAAAAGGTCTTACCTGATCAAGTTGATACCCTTCCTCTCTTGAACCCTTATTGTCAGATTTATCGGAAACATGTATGTTATTATCGCACACCTCCTCCTCGTAGCTGTGCTGATGATTATATGCATATTGTTCACTTTTGTCGTCAGCCTCGAAACTATGATGACTATCGGTCATAATTTGACCTAGATCCTTGTGGCGTTGAGATGCGTGCGCGGTGATGACACTGCGATGCTTCTCACAGGTAAATGCTCCAAAAGAATTAGGTATGTCGACCTCCTTTGCATTGGTATCCCTTCGCATTATGGGGCTTTCATGGTGGTGCACACTTTGCTTATTAGGGATAGCCCGTTCTTCTTCTGTTGAACTCAGCCAATCGTCTTCACGACCTTTGAGCTGTGGGTCACCATGCGTGTTCGAGTCTAGAGTCCAATCAGTCCAGTCCGCGTCAGTCCAGTCATCTTGACTGGGACATTGCACCCCCATGGAGGCACCTGATCTCCCACGCTGCAGCGCCTTCACTCTCCCGCTGCCAAATTCGGAGTGAGGTTCCTGGTAGTCGTGCGTCCTGCGCCTCGTCTTTATGTTAATGGGACTATTTCCACGATCTTGATACGTCTTTGGCACACTCCTTTGGCAATGATAATGAGGACGATGACGACGGCGTGTGCTGCAGCTCGAAAGATAATCTTGTTGTGAGCGAGATTGGGATGTAGCAGTGGTTGGAATGTCACTTCTGCAATCTACAGGGTAATCGGGTCCATCAGTCATCTCGGCGTCGCTGGCTTCGGATTGAAACTTTCCTGATCTGGAGAGGGCAGTGCAAAGACTACAAGCCGAAGACTCTTGAGCGCAGACGCATGATCTTTCTCTGTGCCTGGTAATTGAAGAACCCTTTGAAACCCTGCTTTCCAATGGACAGGAATACGAGTGGACTGCTTCCTGAGTTGTTTGGTAACAGCACCTTTCTGTAAGTTCTGTTTTATAGGACTCGCCCTTGGAATGCCTTGGTCTAATCCTCTTATCTGTGTTTGACACCGGGTTGGGAGCTTCTTCCAAGCAGCTCAAGGAAGGGTCTGTCGATGGACTGTCGTATTCCTCGAAGCCTTCTTCCGATTTGCTGGAATACCCCGAGCCCATGCTGCTTCCATAACTCCCACTGCCCGGACCCCTGGACAAAGACAGTTGATTGGACCGCCGCAGTTTAGATCTGTTGATGTGGTAGACCCGAAAAGCGCGCTCCGCCTTCTCTTGTCGTTCCTTAGACTCTTCCAGGATTTCGCTATATATCTGGCTGTAGCTTTTGGAACGATCCGTGGATAGCAGGCTTTGTTGAGACCAAGACTGTGTGTCATCGTGATCGCTGGACATACACTCTGTGTCCTTGGGTATACCTTCCAAACCATTTTCCGAAATTAGATTTTCCTTCGAATGTTTGCTGTATTCTTCCGTCCTGGGAGAAAGGTTCATCATTGCTGGAGAATCTGGGACGTTCGGTTCGTGGTACGTCTTCCCAGGAACTAAGTTTAGGTCCTTGCTGTTACGATCAGGGTCGTCCTGGTCCTTGGTCAACATGCTCCTGGCGCTTATGTAGTGATGATCGTGGCGGGACTTGTGGTGGTTTTACGATAGTGGGACAAGCAAATTGGGCAGCCTACTTACCATTTCTAATCGAATATGTTCTTGGGTGTAGCTGCGTGGGCAATGGGGGCCCGAACTGGTTGCCTGGCATCTATTGCCGGGCAACTGCGATCTCTAGAGCTTCCAGGTTTCCAGGTTTCCCCACTGAAAAGGGCTTGCTTTCAGCACGCCCATTAATTTCCGGGCCAACTCAACTTGGCAGCCACAAGGGAGCCAAGTGGCCCGAAAACAGAACTCAATTAGCTAAACCAGCGAAGACTCACTCACCATCTCGAGAACTTCACATTGCCCACACACAACGAGCCGCCGAAAAATAGAAGTGCATCAAGTTCTGGAGAGGCACACGAAGATGGGCTGGAAGAGGGCGGTTTTTGGGGGCATGCAACTGCGGCCCATTAGTGTCACTTAGCAGCTAATTATGCTGCGCCCGAGAATTACTTTTTAATTTGTTGCTCTGTGCCCCGCACCAAAATAAATAACGCGCGCGCCAAGAACTTCAAGTGGTTCTTAGGCAGGAGGAGCGGAGGGCAGCCACCGAAACTCAAGTGGCACATTTTTCCACAGCAGTTTTGGCAGCCAGCTTGGCTGCCTCGGTTCCTGTCCTCCGTTCTCCGTTCTCCACTCTCCGACATGGACTCTTGGCTACCTATCCCGCTCCCTATCCGTATCCCAATCCCATCCACACTCTTTCTGGCGGCGCGTGCTGTGGGCGTTCACCTTAATTTGCGCGCTGCCCAAGGGCTCGCATCCTCGGAACCCTCGAGACTCGGACGCCGTGGAATTCTGGTGGCAAAATGGGCGTGTGCCGACACAGAAATGATGTGGCTCGACCAAGGGCCATGGTCAGGCTGGGAAGAGTAACTTTTTGCAAACTGCAACTAATAACCGTTTCCTGCAACACTGCTCTAAACAAGTCTAGGGATCCTCAAGGGAAGTTAGCTTAATGCAGAAAATCATGGATTGCTCTATCCAGGGAGCAAGTTTACCTTTGATCTTCACGCCTTTGGTGGCACACGACTCCAGTCGCTTTCGCCATGTTCCAAGTGTTAATTAGACAAAAACTGATTAAACATTTTGCGCGCACACGCTCCAAATGAGGAGAAGGAGTGGGATTGGTCAGCCGACAACGGCGCCACATGGCCAGGTACAAAGTCGCCTCGATTGCGAGGAAGGGGGCAGAGGCACTGCGAAGGATCCCCAGATACTGGGACCAAAAGCGGCCAGCACACATTTATTAAAGTCGCTCGGGGCATAAATCGTTGAGTGACATGCGACAAACGTCCGAGTTACATTATGTGCGGTGCGATTGATACGACAATCGAGCGATGGATGCCTCGGATGGAGGATGATGATGATGGGTAATTAAAAATTGATCACGTTTAACAAACTGCTACCGAAACAATATATCACAAGTGATTCGCCGAGCAGGAGGAGGACTTGACAAAGTCGCAAAACTTGAGCGGTTTCGCTCGTGGGGCTGCATGGACACATCGATCTGGTTGAGATGCCACATTAAGTCAAAGCTCTGGTTACATGTCATCTCTCGGCGCAGATCCAAGTGCGTTTTTGTGTGTGATGCCCCCTGCCCTTTCCGCGATCGGAACCCATTAATAATTCATTTCGACTGAGTGATCTATTCAGGGAAGCATCCAATCCATCGATCGAACCGATCGAACCGATCGCGAGAAAAAAGATATTCCGCTTGTCAGTCGGGCCTGGGCACAAGTGTTTCTTTTGTTCCTCCCTTTGAGGGTAGAAATGTGCCATAAATATAATGAATACATGCACTTGGAGGCGCGGAGGGGCCAGCACAATGGAACCGCTGAGGTTCCGCTCATTATTAGCCGGGAATCGAAGGACCCTTCAGCCGGAGTGTTGCTTTTTGTGCGATCGCTGGCGACTTTTGATGGAACACCGCCGCAGACGGTTACTGATGACCGACGCCCTGCAATGCGGTAGGGCAATGGATCACCGATCGATCCGGCGCCGCAACAACCCCACATCCCCCATTCGGCCACCTGTGAATGTGAGTGTGAGTGTGCATGTGAATCCCTATAAAGTGGGGGCTTCGGCCAGCCGCAAACTTTAACCCCTGGGAGATTTGCGCCAAGGTGTTGGATAAAACACAAAGTTCGTGTGAATGCCGACACGTTGTGACAATCGCTTGACAACAACGGCCGCAGAACGGGCACAAAAGACATGGCCAACTATGAAAAGGTCGTCAAGCGGCTGGGCCGCATGACTCGCCCACACAATCATCGATGAAGTTTTCGCCGCGTTTTCCCCGCGGTTTTCTGCAAAACGTGCCACGAGTCGCCCGCGAACATTCGCAAGATGCAAATGCCACAAGGGCAAACAAACGGCGCAGCATACACAAGCAGATACTGGCTGCCACTTGGAATCCGAGCGGTCCAATCCTAGCCCCTCATCTGGAGTCGGTCGACGCTGGGTCTGCTCGTGGCATAGATTTCCTCTGCCGCTTGCCGCTTGCCGCTGTTCCGCGGAACCTGGCTGAAATTATAAGAACTCAAATGTAATCTGTCCCAAGATAGTGACAGGCGGCACAGATTCTGACTAATTCTGGCCAAATTCCTTTCCAATTAGGTGGCTACTTGGATGGGAAAACACCGCTTGATTCAGTCACACAAAGAAGCGTCCACTTGACTGCGCATTTGTACTTGATAATTTAAAATAAGAATAAGCTCCTTTCGCTTTGAGTTAGTAAGGGCAAGTTTGTCCTATACCTCATTACAAATAGAAGTGAAATTTATGTAAGAAAAAGCAGCACACTTGAGTGCAACACAGCCTAAAAACAGTTTGTTTAGCACACCCACTGGAGTGTAGAAACATACTCCCCCAGCCCACCGCCTAACCCATTGATAGCCCCACCTGACCCCGTGGACATTGGTAAGATCTGCGGCTCTTGTTGCTCGGCCTGGAACAACACCAGAGCTCATTGATATCGTGCTCATTGATCTTGTATGGCGATAAGTCCGCGCTCAAATACTTATATATATGGATATTTTCATCGTCGGGCTTGGGCTCCCACTTCCAGCGAAGTGGATCGCATGGAGGCCAGATCGGAGAGGCCAGAAACAAAGACTCCAGCTTTGCGAAGGCATTAGAGGCGATCCTCGGACTTGGTAGTGGCTTGGATTGGATTCGGCTAAATGTGTTTTTTGCAGGTCGGCCTTTGCAGTCGAGATCAGGACGCTGCTTTGGAGGAGGCTGCTGCTGAAGATGAGGACTGGGGCACATGTGGCCCAGACATTCTCACACGACCAGCTGTGGAATGGCGAGGAGAAGCTCGGGCTCGACCTGAACTGGAACTGGGACTCAACGATTGGGGTCTTTTGTCCTAGACCGCAACTATAAATTTCATAAACAGCTTTGCCTTTGGCTGAAGACCTTTGCAGTTCCGCGAATTAATATTCGTGTGATATTTTATCGTTATTTGATTTCGCCCAAATTTACTGACCGTTCGCAGCGGAGTTGCAGTCGAAATTGTCGTGCGATTGCAAGTGGCGAAAACCAGCGATTCCTCCTAAAGCCAACGAAGTATGATACCAATTACCTGCGTGGACTGGCCTTTAGTACGCAATATTAAAGTTATACATACATACGAGTACATCACATTGCTAATGCTTAAATTTCGATATGTGAGTTGCAGCGTAATGTGGAGCGCGATTGCATGTTTTTAATTATGCTTGGTGGTAGTAATCACGCTTTACGGCTTTATTGCTACGAAAAATATGGAAATTCTACTACCTGTATGTGCTGATACTCACAAGACAGGAAGTTATTTCAATTAATGCTGAGCATCCCATATAGCCAACCTATGATGTCCTATAAACTCCTCGCCCCATAAACCTCATGAAGATGCCCGCAAACATGTGTCAACCCATTGCCATAAATGTCCGAACAATTAACAAGCGCCCCAAGTGGCAAGGCCCATATGCCCCATATGCCCAAGTGGCCCCAGGATAGTCATTAAGCGGCTGAGCCTCAACTTTAACCTTTTTAATGGCAGACCGCATCATAAAGGCGCTCGGCGCCCCATCGCCCCCTTGGAATACCTGGCAAATTAGCCAGAGTCGTAAACTGTGGAAGAGCCGGGTGTAATTATGCATAGCATACAGCCTACAGCGATACGGACAGATGGATTGGGCATCAAGGGGCGTTTGCAGAAATTAACTTATTAATTCTGCAAGTCGGAATTTCAATTTTCCCGATGCGTGGATCGATTTCGCCTGCCCTTTTTATGGGCTGCAACGTTTTAGTTATTAATTTCACTCGCGAACCGAGCCAAACACACTCGGCGTATGTGGAATGTCTCAGCGCCTAATGAGCAGGACGAGTGAGGGGCGGGGGAGCGGGGGAGCGGTTGCGGTCCAGGGGACACGGGTGATCGCAAACAGCAGCTCGTAATTTAATATTTCATGGCGCCAGCAGCACTATAAAAACGCAGCAGCCTGGAGTCCAGCTCCAAGCTCCAAAATGAAATGACTTAAGCTGCACCATTCATTATGACAACACGACGTTGGCCGAGGATCGAGCACCGAGGACCTGAACACGCCGAAGATGCACTGGGAGAAACGTGTTGATTCGCATTTCAGAAATAGCAGCTTTCACGTGGGAAAAGTCTATTAGACGTAGATACTAAGTTTGTTATTAAGTGAACTTCTTCTTGATCTACAAATTTGTGTGTGGGCTCTTCTAAGACGAGCGGATAAATTAAATTAGTTTTTAAGTTGACATAAAATATTCAAATAGCTAATTTTGCCATGTGTGGACAAGAACCTGGCACAAACCCATCAGACAGGTACGAGCGGGGGGTCACACATTCCCCAGCTTTTTGCAGATTTGCTGCTGCTTCATCTTCATCATCTTTTGGTTATCCTTGCGGGTCCCTCGGCACAGTAAAAAAAGGTCTACGCCAAACACAAATTTTGCGTTGAGATTGCGATCATTTCGCTGATATGCCCCGCCCCTGCGAGCAGCTCCTGTCCCTCCGCCCACAAAGGCCCTTATTTCGCATTCAGGCGTGTGCGCAGCCGCA